TCATCTTTCACATCATCTGAGCTGCAGTCAGTGGGAGCGTAGGCAGAAACGACGAAAAGGCAACGACGTGTATCCCTATCCTTCCGAGTTCTTACGGAGCCGTTTAACCGAACAGCACATAGACGACTGTTAACGGGGATCCACTCTAGCAGTGCTTGTTCCGCCCTCATGCTTAGTGCTATGCCTATACCTGCCAGTCCACGAGAACTGGCCATCGCGTCACCAGATACACGGAGGGTGTATCTCGTTGGCTCTCCGTTTTGCCGAGGTGAGGTCCAGTGAATGACCACACTGGGATCCTGTATGAGTGTTTCAGAGACACAGCATACATCAATGGTACGAGATTCTAGGGTTCTAGACATGGAAGCCTGTTGACCGATTTGACATAGGGTGCGTACGTTGAAGGCTCCAATGTGTAGTTTGGAGCGAGGTTTTAATAGACCTGGGACAGTGTTTTGAGCACTAGAATCGTTGGCTGTGGTGACACTTGAGGGGGAAGCCGAAAAAGGAAGTTTAGAGGTGAAAGTCGATACAGGAGGAATAATAGGAAGTGAAGACAGAGGTTGATTATGAATACAGTGGTCCTGAGTGCTGTTAGAGTTATGAGGGCGGTTGCCCACACCGTGGAAGGGTTTTTCTGGAGGTACCTGAAAAGGAAATTGGATTAGAGGTGGTCTTAGTGACCTAGGAGCGTGAAAGCGGTGTCCAAGGGACAACTTCTTGAGGTCGGTCACACATGGCCGTCTTATGGGCAATTTTTGTGTTAGCTCCGTACCTGTTGAGACCTTATCGCCGGAGACGGATATCCGTGGGATAAGGCGAGGTGTGCATTTTTAGGGTCGACCTTTTCTAACCCCACCCCTCCTTGTGGGAAGGCAGCATCGCCGTCATGCTGCTGTTGTCTGAAGGAAACACTTTACTGCCGTCACACCTCTGTACAGTCAGCAGTACGACTTCGCCTTCGGACCTTGGGTTTGTTGCTTTTGGTCTTACCGCTCTTCAATAGACCTGTCTGACATGGTAGGACCTTGAGGAACGGTTGTTCCAGCCAGTATAGCTCGGCTGCTTCATCACGATAGGCAAGCCCGACCACCACGTCAAGGTAGCAACAACGGTCGGGACATCCAGATCAACTTTCAGGCAGTTAACAGGAAAGTATTAATTATAGTACTTACATATATAGTACAACGCATGACGATGGATTTTAAGGTTATCTATACTGTATGAGTGATTTATGTGTTAAAAGAGGCTTTGAGATGTGGATGGACTTAATATGCTATTGGATTTTCAAAGTTTATATTTTTCTTCGTTGACTTTTGATAGAATGATACTCAGAAGTGTTTACGAGGAGGTTGAAAGTAACATACGTAAGAAAATGACGAATTTAGTTTATCTTGAGAATACTGACCTAGTTTTGGTTTCGTACCACTTCTAACCTTTTCTCACATCTGCAAGAACTTACTGTTTCGTGGTATGCTAATTATCTTTGATAAACAGTTCAGTGCCTCAAATCTACAATATGGCACTAACCGGTTTATAGAAGATCTACATGGTATGACAAGATCAGGATTTTTGGAGAAAACGTTTAAAAGACTATCATATCTAAATAATAACAATGATAATAATAAACAGATAGACGAACAAAGTAGTGAACAAGAATAATTAAAATTCACTTTCGAATTCCAATGTTCCGAAATTTCAGGCGGGATATCACTGAATAAAACAATCTGTTGATGTTTATGAGATTTGGCCATGCAATATAATTCGTATCTATAACCCTTGATATAATTGGGTGCATCCATGATTACTATCGTCGATTGACTTTGTGTAAGTGCTCGTTCAACCTGATCATCAAGCAAACAAGAATTACAAAATTTAAAAGCATTATGATCAACAGAAAAACATAGGTGTAGTGCTCCCAAGATAGTTAAAAAGGAGGAAGATGTTGACCTTAAAAGAAATAACTCATTAAAACCTATAAACACATAATCATAAGTCAAGTTATAGTTATCAGTTGATCAGGAGATATACATTATCCGTAAATTTCATAAAACACATTCCTTATAAATATACGCTTAACAGTTTAGTGTTAGATCACTGGAAGGGATCAACAAGAAAGTTTGAATTTATGTTTTGTCTTAGGTGTCACTTATAGCAACAAAGACCTCTAAGTAATCGGTTTATTTCCTCAAACTACTTATCAATCGATTATATGTTGTTAATATGGACAGTTGGATATATTAAGGGAAGTTTATTCATACCTCTGATTTTTGTTGACCGCGAAATTCACGTTCTTTTAGGGAATCTGCATAAATATCACATCTGATATCATAGTTAGTTGTTATTTTCGATTGTAGATTACCACTTTTAAATTCATCGACAATAAGAATTGAATAATGAGGTAAATGTTGCTTTAGTATGTCAGCTAATAAAGAGACAATGGTTGATTTACCTGAACAAGGATACCCGCATAACAGAATTAACGGCATTTTGTATGTGTAATAACTATGAAAAAACGGTAATGTGATGAATACTGTTGTTTACTCTACAATATCAAATAAATAAACAAAAGAATTTGCAATTAAGTGTTATGAAAAATAAATGGGACGATATTCAAGGGAAAATAGTAATTAATATTATACTGTTTAGGTTGAATTGATAGGCAACTTATTAATTGTTCTTAGAGATTATTATAAACTCTGTTAAACATAAGTTTCACGAACATACGAAGCACAATTCGACAAAAACTATCAACACAAACCACTATTAGAGGAAAATTACTGAATAGGTTTTTCTTTGCACGAATTAATTTCAAGTAATAATTTTCACTTTAAGCTAGAATCCGTACTGAGCACATAGATTTTACAGGGAGCGCATTAGTTTGTTTTCCATTAAAATCATTAGCCGATCAAATGTTAAACTATCATTGAGGACCTGGAAGCACTGGAAACGGAACTCCTCAACAGTGGGCGTTCACGATCCCGTATGCAGGACTTAGACCCAGAAACTTTGGTCTTGCACGAACACTGGACCAATATACCATTAAGCCAGCATCCAATGGTGTTAATATATAACTTCATCCAATCCATGAATAGTTTGGATTTCCCCGATGTTGATGTTAAGGGTCCCAACCGATCAGTATTGGCATATGCAGATCCTGAATGAATTTACTTGACACTGTCGTCTAGTCAGAATCTTGAATTATGGTCAGCGACGGACGCCACAATGCACGTCTCAACTTCTTGAAGACTTTTCAGCTGAATACATCTCCATCCCAGTGTCAACATTGCGATTCCTCTCTGCTAGCCAAAATCAAACTTCACTAACATTATAAATTTGTTTCGGGAATTATTAACAGATATACGGACAGTAATTATTCAGGAGAGGTTATTCCCGACCTACAAGAATTTATGAAATTTAAGTTGTTTACTCATGTCAGATGAAATCTTATCAATTGACGAAATTTTCGGTTGTTCAAATCAATGAATAAAATACTAATCGATAGATGAACGAGGTGTCGGCTACTCCCAAGATCATATAATTTACTTGGGTCTCTGAATAATTACCAATCAAATACAAGAACACTAGCCGGATTAATAGTTTTTGATGTAACAAAATGAACATGATAAAATGTCATTGGTGAATGGAGGAAATTAACTTGTACATTTTTTGAATGATAGAGGCATGGTAAGTTTCCACAGCTTAGAGCTATAGTAATCAGCAGTAGTGATTAAAAAAAAACATTTGTCAAAGAAAAATGTCTTGGTTTTCTGGAGCCTAATTAGTTGAAAGTCAAACTGTTTTAAAAACACCATCTATTTACAAGTGATAAAGTTTATAGGATAATTAGTGGAGGTCTGGATAACCAATCAATTCCTGCACTGAAAATAAGCACATTATCTACTAAACCACGTAATGTATATGACAAATTAAGAAAGTTAAAAATGTAAATCGTATTAAACAAGAGGATCATGTATAACAACGTTTAACATAATCGTAGCACACATACTAATTAATCTGATGTGAACTAGACGGTGTACTTTGGGGTCTAGGTTCATCACTTGCTATTGGGTCATAAGTTTGAACCAATCTAGCATCTAACACTTGAAAAGTTCTATGACATGTAGCTTTTTATGATAGGTGTGATTTATAACTCTGTCAATGAAAACTATATCTCATGGGGTCATATTATTCACTAACAGCTCAATCCATTTCAGGCTTTGATTAACAGTTATACTACAGAATCGCTGAAAAATCATGGCTTAGAACATTATAAATAATTAGTAGTAAATTATGTCTCGAAATACCAACTTTCAAAAAGTCAAACCGGATGTAGCTCATTGTGTTGTTCATAGATTTTTTAATAATGTCTAAATTCTTGTATAAGTCACAGTCACATATATAATGAATGTACAATGGTAATAATATAGTCTGGTGGACGAATTCCAATGTAGGACATTAGTAATTCTCGAGAGAGATCCAATTAAACAGAAAGCTAATGGGTAAACTTTAAGCTGGAAACATGATAGTAATAATAACAACAAATATTACATGTAAGAGATCTCTTTTCTGACAGCCTTAAACATCTGACAATCCGAACTCTCTAATTAATTCGAACAATTATGAATGGACTGACATATAAAATTCTATTGAATGGTTAAATAAACAGAGTCAATTCTATTTTGTTTACATATAAACAGTATTCGTCAACATGAAATATTTTGCTTTGTGTATAAAATCAGTATATGCAGACCTATGTATTTTAATTTAAAAATAAGACTTCTCTTATAAAGGCACAGTTTATAACCAGTCATTTCAATAGAACATTTATCATACTCAATATTAAAAATATTAATGATCAAGAACACGTTTTACATATGGGGATAATGTGTTTAATTTTGAATTGGCTGTACATTATTCATGTTTTATTCATCAAGTTTAATAAAAACTCATAGAATGCAATGTGAAATCAGGTTGTTTTATTTTATTTTATTCTTAATTCGAGAACAGACAAATGCATTTTTATACAATCAAAAACAGATATTCGATTGTCATAATCAAAACATAAATTATATCACTCTGGATAATGATAAACTTTTACAGTAGAATCAGCTGATGAACTTAAGATATAATGTATAGGTTTATCATTAGTAAGTAATTTAATTGCAGGCGCCCAATCAACATCTGTCACAATATCAGCATGTCCCATTAAGTCATATAGAGAGGAACGAGGATTACGTGTATCCCATAAACGAACACTACGATCAATTGACCCAGATATAAACTGATCTTGTCTATGAGGTGCCCAAGCAACTGAAGTCAACCAGCCTGTGTGTCCTTGAAATCCAGAGAGTACTAAAGGTGCTTTATAAAATAATTTGGTAGAAAAAGAATTTAAAATAGGGAGATTTTGAAGTATATACATGCACATTTCAATATTAGAACAGAAATTTAAATTTTAAAAGACATGGTTAGGTGATAGATAGTTACAAACAAACAAAAAAATGTTTGCTATTCAAATAACCATATTGATTGAATCTTTATCTTTGTACACTGGGTAACATCCCAGTCAGTAAACCATAAAGTCTTACTTTGATCACTTCTCTGGATGGTTAAGTCCTCTGGAATTTTTAATTAGACATATTAGTGCCTTCATCTCAAGGTCTTATTATTCGGTCGGTCATAATCAACGTAGAGCCTGATACAAGTGTGCATTGACCCAAGTTGTCATACCACATTGGGACAATGAGGTGAAATTAACAAGATAAGCACCAAACAAGTCGAAGTAATATTAGTAGCATTGATAGTGAAAAAAGAGAGATTGGGAATATGGTTTGAAAATAAGTTATGTATGGGAGTGATACGGTGGAAAAGTAATAGGCCTAACAGTTAGCTCCTAAGTGATCGGAAAGTAGTGAGTGACCCATAAACTGATACCCTTCAATCGCTTGTGAAATATCCTTTTTTGTTAGTATTTTGTATACAAAAATGTAATCTTATTGCATAAAACGTTTATTCTTCTGGTCAGTAGTTCTATGTTCAGTAATCATTTGCGGGCTTATGTCAATAATACAAGTCTTGTGGGCAGCTATCAATCAGCTACACTTCGTATCATTGCTTACCATCTATCGACCAGTATTCTATTTGCTTACTTTAATGGTCTAAAATTTTGTATGATCAATCAATAAAATCCTCCTGTATAAACGAAGAAATGTTGAAACTCAAGATCTAGAAGCTAATAAAGAGTGGACGTGTCTTGGTCAATGCGACGGTTTCTGTGACGTATCATTCGATAATGAGCACCCCAACCAAGGAATCTGTATCTACCAACATGGTACAAACGAACAGTTAGTAAATACACAGACTGGTGTCATATATTTGTTTCGGCAGCTGCAAACTTTCTTCCAACTTATTTCTACTTCAACCAATTTTGTACATCGAAGTAATTTATGATTCAACATTCATAACATGTCCCGACTATCTTGGTCGATGCATAACTATGCTCAAATACCGGTAACTTACGAATGTAGTCTACCTTTAAAGGTTACATATCATAGCTATACAGTAATATAGTCAACAACCTAAATGAGTAATGCTGTTTTGTTTAAGCCATTATAAGACTTTTATCACGTTACTCCTGTAGAATCTAATTCAGTAGGGTGGGGAAAGTAGTGGATAGTTAGACAACGCACCCCCAAGCCAACCCAGTCAATAACACCTCACAAACCCACTAACCAACATCGCTTTTGCACCTAACATCATCATTGGACGCTTGGTGATCTTATTGGCTACCAACAGTGATTATGAAGAACTTATGATTGCATACCACTAAGTTTCAGGCTGGCTTTTTTACAGACGTGGTAGCAGAGGAAAAACTAGATCATAATATTCTTGTTCTTAATTAGGTATTCACACACATTAGTTGAGTCATAAATGGTAAAAATCAAGCGAATACTTTGCATTTCATCTGAGGTTTTATCACCTACCAAAATTTGGAAAGTAATGACCAAAATGTCAAAACATTTACGTCATGCGCAGTGAAATCTCCATTAATGTGGAATGCTTGTTCGGACATTCATCAGTATGCAAAGTACTTTGAAAATTAAATCAAAGATAATAAGCATTGTTAAAAAATAACTATCTTCAAGGACAAAGTTTGTTACGTAATATAATAAAGCTTACCTTCTGCTCGTGGATCAAATATTCGAATACAGTTATCAGAAGAAGCAGTCAAAATACCTCTGCTATTGACATCTGCATCATGCAAAGCATGATTGGAAAGTATACACCGGACTTCAGCACCAGTGTTACCTTTGGCCGCTTCACAATCCCAAATACGTAGACTATGATCCCAACTGATAGACAGTAGCTGGTTTCCACCAGGCTTTATTTCGCTATCATTAGTAAGAGTGGAAGGTAACCAGCAAATGCGTGTGACAGTTTCCCGATGTCCCGCTAAGGTGAATAACGGGATCTGTAATATATATTGAAAGGTAAAAAAATATAACCCGTAAAACTACTGGAAAATAACAAGTATCAGTGTTACGAACTTTTTGTTTAGAGAAAGTGTATAATAATGGGTAAGAATCACTATCACAACAACTCATTAGAATTCAGTCGTTTAAACACCCTAAAATTATTAGAAGACATTAAATAAATCAAATAATCCATGACACTTAAGAGGTGTAAACTATCTTTTTAAACAAGAGAAAGTGGAAACTTTAGCAAACAGAAGCAGATAAAAAGTGTGATAAATGCTCAAAAAGATCTTACTCTAGTAGGTGTTTTGCTAGTCGATTTCCTCACATGTACAATACCACCTGTTTCTTCAGACAGATCTGTAGGTTCAATCCCTTTAAAAATAAAAAAAAAATGGTTAATCAATTTATTACTAAATGTGTTGATGAAATTTTTGACATATTTAGATAATAAAATACTTTTTTATTTAGGAAATTACCTGCCGACCATATTTTGATTGTTGTATCCCAAGATCCTGTAGCGAAATGTGTTGTATGAGTATCAGAATTATTAGAGAAGCGTGAGGCTGCGGTCATCACAGTTTCAGAATGTCCACGACAAACAGCAATACAATTAACTTTATTTGAACTAAGATCCCAGTGCCATATCTGAGCTGTTTGGTCAAAACCGCCAGTTACAAAAACCGCCTCATTTTTGGTTTGATCTGAAATATTTTCATAAGAGAAAGTATATTAGCAACCAAAGTTTGTTTATAATTGAGCTGAAATCAAGCATACATAAAACTAAAGCTAGTTGTTAATCAAAAAGCAATAGATAGACCACATATATTTTTAAGATGTTTGGAGGTTAATGACAAAGATGTTAGCTTATTTTTACATATTTGACACTAAGTTACAGAGGTCTATGAAAGTAAATACACGGAACACAATAACGACACAAGTTTGTAAACTAGAGTTTAAGTGTCACTCACTGTAGAGAACGGTACTGAATTTATTACTAGACTTTAAATTAAAGTAATTTTGAACTCATGATATGACTGTTTGTAAGCTCAAAACCTAGTTAAAAAGATTGAGGTACGAAAGCCTCCTATTTCGAAAAAAATTTTTTATAATGCAACTACGTTTTACGTAGTTGCACATTTATGTCTTTAAACAAAACAATGATAGCGTCAACATCAACAATTGCAAGATATTTCCTGTCACAGAGTTGTTAAAATGGTTAACGAAATACATAGTTTTTTAAGTTTCATCAACAAAATATAAAGCGGGCTTGAACTATGAGTGGTAGATTTGTACAGAAAAGTAGTACCATCAGCCCTTAGTTGATAGGTAAAGTTAGAAACCCTAAACACGGACGAACACATTGAGATCCAGGTGTTTTGAACGCTAAAACAAACAAAGGTGAATGACAAAACAATAGGCAGAGCATGGATCAAACCTAAAGCATACTAAATGATAGTCGATAACTTTAACCTCTGCTCTGCAATGTCAGAATAACTAACATACGTTTGTGCATTCTATCGTGAATTGGAATACCCATTATATAAGAGATAATGATAACAAATAGCTGTGAAAACTTTCGTAGCTAAAGTGTCATTCGAAGTTCAGCTACTAAACCTTACAAACTACTGACGAAAATGACAAACACCAAAGTTAGCCATCATTAACGTATAGCCTAACAAATGTGAATTGGTCCTAATCGCCATACCAAATTAGAACGAAGAAATCAAAATAGTACGGTGAATAGTAAAACAGATAAAAGTAATGTAGTACCAATGATGATTAGAAAAGCCAAACCTTTGAAACAAAGTGAAAAGGTACGTAAGGAGGATTACTAGAATTCAAGATCAGCAGGAATATAAAGAGCCCGATCGAAGCTGCTACCTTGACGCGGTGGTCGGGCTTGCCTATCGTGATGACCCAACCGAGCTATATTGGCTGGAACATATGTTCCTGCAGGTTCTACCATGCCAGGCAGGTCGATTGGTGAACGGTAAGACTAAAAGCAGCAACTCAAGGTCTGAGGGCGAAGTCGTACTGCTGACTGTAGAGAGGTGTGACAGCAGTAAGGTGTTTCCCTCGGACAACCAGCATGACAGCGATGCTGCCTTCCCACAAGGAGGGGTGGGGTTAGAAAAGGTCGACCCCAAAAATGCCACACCTCACCTTATCTCACGGATTTCCGTCTCCGGCGGTAAGGCCCTTTGAAGAACGGAGCTAACACGTCAAAAACCTTCCACAAAAAGGTCGTGCGCGACCGGCCTCAAGCAGTTGTACCTTGGGCTCTGCGGTCACGCTCCCAGGTCGTCAAGACCAACACTAATCCAATTTCCTTTTCAGGTTCCTCAAGAAATACCCTTCCACGGTGTGGGCAGCCGGGAAGTGACATCACCCCTCATACCCGTAACAGCACAAGAGACCAAGGTGGTCACATTCAAATCCTTCCTACACCTCCTAATACCTCTCTTATCTCCCCGACTAACCCTCCTCACGTCTCTTTATCACCTCGCACCGCTAGGGCAAACGATTCGAGTACGTGGAACGCTATTCCTGGTCTCCTGAAACCACGCTCTAAACTATACGTAGGAGCTTTTAACGTACGAACACTTTGCCAAATAGGACAGCAGGCTTCCTTAGCTAAAACTTTAGAATCTCGCGCCATCGATGTGTGCTGCGTCTCCGAAACGCGCATACAGGATCCAAGTAACGTCATTCATTTGACCTCACCATGCCAAAATAAAGAACCGACTCGATTTACGCTTCGTGTATCTGGAAGCCCTGATTCTGCTTCCCGTGGCTTCGCCGGCGTAGGTATAGCATTGAGTCCTAGGGCAGAACTAGCTCTCTTAGAGTGGATCCCAGTAGACAGTCGTTTGTGCGCTGTCCGACTAAACGGAACAGTAAGGATCCGAAAAGATAGGGACACTCGTCGTTGCCTCTTCGTCGTCTCTGCCTATTCTCCCACTGACTGCAGCTCAGATGATGTAAAAGATGAGTTTTACAGAAAGCTTTCGGACCTTCTCCGAAAAGCTAGGCGCTCTGATGTAGTATTAGTGGCCGGTGACTTTAATGCTCAAGTAGGTAAACTAAGCGATAGGGAAAGACACCTAGGTGGATCTTATGGTGTCGTGGCTCAAAGAACAGATAATGGCGATCGTCTGTTGCAGCTATGCTCAGATAACCGCCTGTTCCTTGCAAATACTAACTTTAAGCATAAGGAAAAACATCTTTTAACATGGCGTCCCCCTAATTCGTCCCAACGTTGGACCCAAATAGATCACATCGCTATCAGCCACCGATGGAGGGGCTCGATAGAAGACTGTCGCTCATTCTGGAGCACATGCCTAGATTCAGATCATGCTCTAGTGCGAGCGCGTATTTGCTTGCGTCTTACTGGACGTAGGAAAGACGCTGCAAGGAAACCTCTTAGGGGCCTACTTAATGATAGTCAAGCTAAGAGTATATTTCAGGAACAACTAGGAAAACAGTTAGGGAGCCATGTATGTGATGTCCACCCCGAGGCAGCATGGAATGATATCCGAAAAGCTGTGGAAACAGCAGTGATATTTGCTAGTAAGGTAAACCAGAAGGTTAGGGAGCAACACTGGATCTCAGCAGCATCTATCGCACTGATGGATGCTCGTAAACTCATTCCACCCGGCTCTGAACATAATGAAGAGCGGAGTCAGCTTAAGCGCAAGCTGACAAGAAGTCTACGCAATGATCGCGAACAGTGGTGGGTAGCGAAAGCAAGAGAGATGGAAAAGGCAGCGGCAATAGGTAATAGCAGACAATTGTTTAGACTCGTTAAGGAAACCGGAATTAGGAACCCGACCGTTAGCGAAACAATCTCAGAGAAAGATGGACATATTATTCATTCTCAATCCTGGAGACTGGATCGATGGGCAGAACACTTTAGGGATCAGTTCAACTGGCCTTCAGCCACACTTCGGTTTCCCACGATCTCTAGTCAACCTGAATGGCAAGTTAATGTAGGTCCTCCGTCCCTTTACGAAGTTCAAAAAGCCATAGGAAATCTGAAACGAGGGAGAGCAGCAGGCCCTGACAGGTTTACTCCTGAGATTTTTAAGGATGGTGGTCCAGTATTAGCAATGAGATTAACCGAGGTCTTAGGCAGAATTTGGGAACTGGACGTAATCCCATCTGACTGGTCTCAATCACTGATTGTGCCAGTCTATAAGAAAGGACAAAAGTCCTCTTGTGACAATCACAGAGGAATCAGTTTGACTAATATAGTATCTAAAATATTAGCCTCAATAATACTTCGACGCCTAATCAAAGCTCGTGAAGAGCAGATTAGAGAAAACCAGGCCGGTTTTCGACCTGGACGTGGTTGTATAGATCAGATATTCACACTACGTCAGGTTCTAGAACACAGACACACATTCAGACGCCCCACAATGGTAGTCTTTCTCGACCTTAAGGCGGCATTCGACTCTGTTGATCGTGAGGTTCTATGGCAGTGTTTGTCACTGAAAGGAGTACCAAAGAAGTACATTAACCTTGTAAAGGCTCTCTACTCGAACACAACTGGTAGAGTAAGAGCTTATGGCGAACTGTCATCAGAATTGATTACCTCAAGTGGTGTTCGTCAGGGCTGTCCACTCTCCCCATTCTTGTTCAATTTTGTGGTCGACATACTTTTAGAGATATCACTCTCCTCATCTTTATTCGCTTCATATTCGAAATTTATGTATTCTCAAGTCAATTCTCGTTATTCGACTTATTTAATTCCATTATTGGATAACGCGATTTAAGTAGACTATTATATACGAGAATAAGCGATAGCAAATATTTATACGCTCTAAAAAAGAGTCAGATCAAACGGGCTACAAAAAACTTCTACCGGGAGGTTCACTTGTTGACTTAGAATATGCAGATGACATAGTTTTATTTGGTGAAGACGCTGAAAAAATGCAGAGTCTTCTGACCACTCTAAGCAACAATGCAAGCATGTTCGGGATGCGATTCTCTTCCTCGAAATGCAAGATGTTGCTTCAGGATTGGGTTACATCGACACCCGAACTAGTGATAGGGAGTGAAGTAGTTGAGTGTGTTGACCGCTTCACTTATCTTGGAAGTCTCATCAGCCCTTGTGGTCTGGTGTGTGACGAAATCTCAGCACAGATACAGAAGGCTCGACTAGCTTTTGCCAACTTGCGTCATTTATGGCGTAGGCGAGATATCCGTCTATCAACCAAAGGACGTGTTTACTGCGCAGCAGTTCGTTCCGTCCTACTTTATGGCAGTGAAACATGGCCGGTAAGAGTAGAGGACATCCGTAGGTTACTAGTATTCGATCTTAGGTGTCTTCGAAACATTGCTCGTATATCCTGGGACCATCGAGTAAGTAACACAGTTGTTAGGAAACGGGTACTAGGTAAGGATGGCAAATCAATTGATGAAGTAGTGAAACTTCATCAGTTGAGATGGCTGGGACACGTGTTACGTATGCCCAACGACCGACTGCCTCGACGTGCGATGTTCAGTGGTATAGGAGTAGGTTGGAAGAAAGCTAGGGGCGGCCAAAACAAAACATGGCACAAGTCCATGAAGTCACTGACAAGTGGACTGAGTCATGTTGGTAGGTGTAGACTACCTGGTTGGGGACCACGAGATGATAGCAACCGATGGTTAGAGACCCTGAATGACATGGCTCAAAATCGTTTACAATGGCGCAGGT